TTTTAGTTGTTTTCAGACGAGTGTATACCAAACCGGGCAAGCAGAAAATTCTACTTGACCGCGGCTGGGATTCGAACCCGCGACCTTCGTATTTCTAGAACGATGCTCTACCATCTGAGCTACAAGGTCAGGCTGAGAACGACTTGTTAAGTTATGATGTTACACGAGTGGAATCGTAAACGTGGGAAACCACAACATTCACATACAACATTGCCAGACTAATAGCTGGCTTTACGCATTGAAGGACTAACCTCCGAAATGCAACTAACATCATAACTTAACAAGTCGTTCTCAGCTTGACCTTGTAGCACAGTAGAGCATCGTTCTAGAAATGCGAAGGTCGCGGGGTTCGAATCCCAGCCGCGGTCAATTAGAATTTTCAAAACCACAACATAACGTTACACGAGTGGAATCGTAAACGTGGGAAACCACAAAATTCATATGTATATATATATATATATATATATATATATATATATATATATATATATATATATATATATATATATATATATATATATATATATATATATATATATATATATATATATATATAAATCTATCACTGAGCCAACTTTCTCTAGAGCCCAACATTTATATAAATCAATCAATGATACATCAGAGCTCGTATAACAACTTTTTATTACGTTTCGGGGCAAGCCCCTTCTTCAGATTACATGTCTGATACATGTCTGATTACATCAGATTACATGTCTGATTACATGTCTGATTACATCAAACCGACTGATACACATCAATACTTAGACTTCAAGTCTTGTCATCCTGCACATGTGAAGAAGGCAATCCCCTATGGTCAGGCGCTAAGATTAAAACGGATTTGTAGTTCGGAAAAAGTTTTTCAGGATAGGCTTAAAGAAATGGAAGGTCATTTTATAAAGCGACGATTTATCAAAAAGTTGGTTAAGGATCAGTTTTCTGAGGTTAAAGTTAAGGATAGGGCTGAAATGTTACGCCAAACGGATAAGAGGAAGAATTCTAACTTGAGTAATAGAGTACCACTGGTAGTAGAATTTCATCCGGCATTAAAGGAAATTAATGGAATTGTGGAAACACTTTGGCCGATTCTGGAGACATCGGAGAGGATGAGGGATGTCTTCGGTAGTAGGCCGATTGTTTCATATAAGAGACCAAAAAATTTAAAAGATAGTTTGGTTAGATCTAAGGTTAAAAAGGCTAGGGAGGTAAGTGCAGGGATGAGTAAGTGTAATAAGAGTCGTTGTCAGATTTGTAATTATGTAGATGAGGGGAAAGAATTTCTCGAGGGAAAAGTAAAATACTACATTAATTACAACTTTGATTGTGATTCGGCTGGGGTGATTTATTTGATTTATTGTAGAAAATGTGGGAAAAAGTATGTGGGGAGTACAATTACCAGTTTTAGGAAACGTTTTAACAACCACAAAAGTAGCATGAATAGATATGGGAGAGGTGAAAGGGGTATGGCAGGCGAGCATTTGTATGCTCATTTTTTTGATCAAGGTCATAATGGTATGCAAGATGTGAAAGTTAAAATTATTGATAAAACTAATGTTGCATGTCCCACACAAAGAGAAGGTTTGTGGGCATATAAACTGAATTCGTTTGAACCGCATGGGTTGAATTTAAAAGACTTTGTTTGAACAATAGAGTTAATCATGCGAATTATTGTAATTAGGGTATGGACAGTTTAAATTGTTGAAATCAAGTGTACACATGTAATCTGAAGAAGGGGCTTGCCCCGAAACGTAATAAAAAGTTGTTATACGAGCTCTGATGTATCATTGATTGATTTATATAAATGTTGGGCTCTAGGGAAAGTTGGCTCAGTGATAGATTTATATATATATATATATATATATATATATATATATATATATATCAATTTTATATATATATATATATATATATATATATATATATATATATATATATATATATATATATATATATATATCTTTTGGAAGCTAAAAGTAAAGCTTGGACGGTTGAAACTGGTTAAAAATTTATTTTAAAAATATTAAAATATCGGAAGACGTTTCGGTCAAACAACTAAGACCTTCGTCGGTTCAACTAAAACGATGAAACTACGTCTATATTATATAGGTTACAAACAATTATGCTAAATTGCTACTAATTTGTTCAAGATAAAAATAAATATCCGGAGTGTCATTAGGACCGTACTAAAGTATGTTAATTGTTAAAACTGAAAACAATATAATCTCAGTAATGTCTTAACGAACACAATTATTACGTTAACTGGTATTGAACTATACAAGGCAATTGTAAATCTCAGGAATGTCATTGTGATCATTTCCCGCATTGGCTTGTCTTAGAGAATGCCACGCTTCAAGGAACAACCTTTTGTCATGGTCTGGTTCACGATCGACAATTTTGGTATTTTCAAAATCCATTTTGTGAAGGTGGGTGTTCGTGTGTTGCGCTATTTTAGAATATTCATCATCGTTTTCCACCGCGTTTTTGTGCTCTTTGAACAAATCTTGAACAAATTAGTAGCAATTTAGCATAATTGTTTGTAACCTATATAATATTAGTCTCCTATGCAGACCTACTTTAGCGGGTTTAGGCCTGCCACGTACGGTCTGCTTACTTTCGCTAGCAATTCGCTTTCCCATTGTATTCCATTAGCCAATAGCATTCAAATAGACAAGACACGCCCACTTTGAATGTCAACTGTAAAGTGTAAACAAGGAGCGTGCGATAATCGAATAATAATACGGTATATACGTATTTAAATGGCCTTAAATGTGAACAGATCGAGTTTTCTGATCAATAGCAGTCGAAGTAGAAAATATTGAATATTTTTCCAACGAATGTACGCGATAGGTCGAAGGCTTAAATGTATATAAAGCTATTCACTGGTAACACTTGTTTTGAACTTGACGCGACTGTGTGACGGCATGTATTATATTCAATATATACTATTAACAATATATTTAATAATTCATGAAGAAAACACAAAAGAAATCATGGGCGTGAAGGAGTCTGTATATGTGATATAGATTCATGTTGATTTACATAAACTTTAACTTTGATTTTCTCGGCTTAGACAACGTTTATTTTCAAAATTACTTCGCCAATGAACTCATAAGATGAGTCGTTTTCGGCTCGAGTTTGTATATCCGATACAACACGGCCGCTCATGTTGTAAATAGTACTAAGTTTCCGAGCGTTCAATATCAGAGCGACTTTTGTAATTACGATTTTATTAAACTTTATAAACTGGCTAGTCATATACAAACTTAGAAACCGAAATATGCAATGAATCAATTCAGTATTTTATATAGGCTGAATTCTGTAGTCTTCAATTAGTATTTATAAATCTATTATCTACACCCGCAGTAATGTACACTGTAACTTTAAAACTTTATCTTGACGTCTTTTTCCAGTATATTACCCGTGTTACAGTAACACCTGCAAACGCTTGTAAAGTAATCAAAACATCGCAAAATATTTTAGGTGATATTGTTCGATTTTTCTACACTGTCACTGTCTGTTCAAAACAATAGCTCGACAAATTCTAACAGATTTTACAATTGTTTCATATTGTACATTTGTAGACTGGTATATTGGTATAACAAATATATCTCTCAGGTCTCGCATATATAATCGGTTTAAGATATGAATTCGTACAAATGAATATATAAAATGTTCAAGATTTAATAAATGTTTTGAAACGTTTAACAACCCAAGCCTCAAGGTCAAAGCCAAAGGTCAAGCCCCACAATTTTCGTGGGTAAAGCTGTGATTG